AAACCTCTTCAACACGCTTTCATCGAACGTTTTCTTGGAAAGACATGTTTTCTCCAATATCCTCGCATGGCCGGTGACGCATGGCAAAAAAACCTTCAAGGAAGTGGATCATCAGGACGAATGCCCACAATCGATTTTCACAATTCACAATTCAATTCATTGCTTCCACTACAGGCCTGTCGACTGCTTGATTTCTTCTTCGTTTGTAGTCAGTTCATGTTCATGCAATTTACTGAGGGCAAATATGAACAATACACAACAAGGTATCGGGTCTGTATTATTTGGAACGGTGTAATCATCAATGCTGTACTTAAAAATCACGTCAACACTAGACCGCATTAAAAAAGCATACTGTATTTCGAAAGAGACCCTTCACGTCTTACCGAGGACAATCGATTTTGATGGCCTCGAGATCATAAATCAAAAAACCACGAGCAAAAAGAATCTTACCTTCCCTTTAAAGTCGAACGACCAACAGTCTGGAGATACTGATTCGATGATTCGAATAAACGAAAATTGATAAGGTAAACAAAAACCCACGTGATGTAAATCAACAACCAATCAGATGTCTAGAAGTTCCTTTTGCGTGTCCTAACACGTTATGTAACTGAATTTGTTTTCTCGTGATGTGTACGAGTTAATTGTGTCTGCTTGAATGGTAATATTCCATGAACGACAAAACTACAGCTCCCATTGCTTCGATTGCTCGACTCAAACTTTTGCAATATAATGTGTCCATTCAAATGAAAACCACTGACCATGAACGCTTTATTTTGAATTTTTTTTAGAATTTTTTTTAAAGCCACCTCAAAAAGCACATACCGAAAATTAAAACACAAGATTCCGTTTTCAAATTTCTCAGGCCTAGTATGGATGGGGCCTAAGGGTCTGAATGGTGTTTATCTGACAACTGAGAATTGGCTTAAACTTTAACTGTCAGCTGACACGTGGAGTAACTTTGGAAAGTTGTTATAAAAGCACTTAAGAGGTGACACAAACTTACAGAACACAAATCGTAAAATGTTTCTTGCTCATTTCAGACAGCACTTTTTGTGATATTTATGGTGTTAAAAATGACGGAATTATTTTTGTGGTATGCGCAATAAGTATGATTTTCTATTAAAAACAATTACTGTCAGTCTCGTTCACAGTCGTTTTCTCTGATGGTCCCATAAGATCGGGGATCACAGTTGCTGGGCCCAAGACTGTATTAAGGAAGTTATTAACCATTTTGAGTAAGTGATACAGGAGAAATTGCAAGCAAGTGGCATTTCCCTGCAAGGCCCCCCCCCC